ACAATTTGAATGAAATTTGAATGGTAGATGAATGAGTAACTTTTATTTGCTCCTAGAATTCCAAACAAATTACATGAATTGAACTTCAAAACTGAGTAAACTTGTATCATGAAAAATTAGTCCTTTTGCATATCTTGAATTCAAAAGCAAATTCATATGAATGAATTGCACCTCGCACACTTGAATCAATTTTAAATCAAAAGAATTATTCGAATTCATCCTCAAATCTTCTCTTTAAAACCCATATCGTCAATTCGTGGTAACTTGTAATATGCTCCAATAATACAAATCGTGCCTTTAAGAGATTTAATCAATAATCCACCTTAATCCAACGACCGCTAATGTTAAAAGGCAAATGACTTGAAGCAGGAGACAATCAATCAATGAATCATTAAAATAGAACTCTAGTTTCATGAATTATCCCAATATAAGAATCAAACGTCCTTTGAGAAAACGTCTGTGACATATATTGAACCAAGCACAATTTTACATCAATCTTTGAATTAGTCTCATAGACAACATTGTTTGTGATACTTCACAAAAATAATTGTCTTAGGATGTTGAGAATTGAAGAAGTTTTGATCGTTTGAACTTGATCTTGCAAAAAGATGACTTTTAGTCGAAGTGCTTTAAATCGTCTCACATAGCCTGATCTTTTCTTGCATTCCAAGACGCATTAAAGCACATGTGAAATAGTGATAATGAAATCTTGTTTGTTCTCTGAGGAAGTTGTGGAGAAGCTTGAGACCACCTGTCAAACAAGGCGTAGAAATAAACACACGATTTATGAAGTTCTAAAATATATCTTTGATCAAAATTTGATTGAATGATGCTTGAAACTCTATGCTCTGAGATTAGAGGTTGTGCCTTGATGAATCAATTTTCGAGAATCCACAATAAATCGTACTTCTGGCTTGGGAGACTCAAAACCATAATTGAAGCGCGACGCCTGATGCTCTGGATTAAGACCTGTCTCTACACATGAAACAAAAGAAAACACGAACATACACCTTTATATGCGATTAGAAGTTAGTGATACATAGGCTAAAAATGTTCAAAACACTTGACATATGAAATGAACAACAATGAAATAGCATAAGCTATAGCGAAAAAGACCTGGTATGTTTTCCTTCATCTATTTCTATTTGTAAGCTCCTTCTTCTCCATCTTTGTTATGTTGCTTGCGATTACTTCTAAAATTTCTTCTTCTTCAACTCCTCGTGTGTGCAGTATTGTTGATGTGGATGTGTGTTGCTGTTGCTGCAATTGTGAAAGCTGTTGTTGTTGAAGCTGAGGGAGTTGTCGCTGCACAGAGGGAGTCGGCCACAGCTTGTCTCAAGTATGTTGTTTATGCTATTTAATCTTTGTCCTAAGCACTCTATAAATAACTTCTTTTGTTAAGTCTCTGATTCCTTCCAACTTATTTGTTGGTGATTGTTTGTGGTGTTGAGTATAAGGTTTTAGAGATGCAGATAATTTTATGATATTTTTTTATGTCGTTTAGGTTTTCTGAGATATGCAGGGAGATTGAATGATGTAGAGTATGAAGGATGGGGTTTTGTGGCTTTTTTAGGAAATTCTGCAGAATTTTAGCGATTTGAAGCGGTTTATTTTTGGAAGGTTTTGAGGTATGTACTTCTATTTTTTATCTGTTATTTCTTTTGATTTCTCTGTATGGTTTTTGGTGTATAAAGTGTTGCCGATATTGTTGGTGTGTTTTTTTAGCTTCTCCTCCATTTTTTTTTCTTGAGAGGAAAGAATTCCTTGATTTAAAGGTGAGAATGATGGTGATGTATCTTGGAAACTTAAATGCAAACAAGTCTTGAGTAATTCTAGTAGTTTTACTTATGTGAAAATGTGTTTGAGTTCTCAATATACAATTTGAATGAAATTTGAATGGTAGATGAATGAGTAACTTTTATTTGCTCCTAGAATTCCAAACAAATTACATGAATTGATCTTCAAAACTGAGTAAACTTGTATCATGAGAAATTAGTCCTTCTGCATATCTTGAATTCAAAACCAAATTCATATGAATGAATTGCACCTCGCACACTTGAATCGATTTTAAATCAAAAGAATTATTCGAATTCATCCTCAAATCTTCTTCTTTAAAACCCATATCGTCAATTCGTGGTAACTTATAATATGAGCCAATAATACAAATCGTGCCTTTAAGAGATTTAATCTATAATCCACCTTAATCCAACGAACGCTAATGTTAAATTGCAAATGACTTGAAGCAGGAGACAATAAATCAATGAATCATTGAACTAGAACTCTAGTTTCATGAATTATCCCAATATAAGAATCAAACGTCCTTTGAGAAAACGTCTGTGACATATATTGAATAGGGCACAATTTGACCTCGATCTTTGAATTAGTCTCATAAAAAACGTTATTTGTGATACTTCACAAAAAAAATTGTCTCAAGACGTTGAGAATTGAAGAAGTTTTGATCGTTTGGAATTGATCTTGCAAAAAGTTGACTTTTAGTCGAAGTGCTTTAAATCTTCTCACATAGCCTGATCTTTTCTGGCATTCCAAGACGCATTGAACCACATGTGAAATAGTGATAATGAAATCTTGTTTGTTCTCTGAGGAAGTTGTGGAGAAGCTTGAGACCACCTGTCGAACAAGGCGTAGAAATAAACACACGATCCTCTGAAGTTCTAAAATATATCTTTTATCAAAATTTGATTGAATAATGCTTGAAACTCTATGCTCTGGGATTAGAGGTTGTGCCTTGATGAATCAATTTTCGAGAATCCAAAATCAATTGTACTTCTGGCTTGGGAGACTCAAAACCCTAACTCAAGCGCGACGCCTGATGCTCTTGATTCAGACCTCTCTCTACACATGAAACAAAAGAAAACACGAATATACACCTTTATATGCGATTAGAAGTTATTGATACATAGGCTAAAAATTTTCAATACACTTGACATATGAAATGAACAACAAAGAAATAGCATAAGTTATAGCCAAAAAGACCTGGTATGTTGTCCTTCATCTATTTCTCTTTGTAAGCTCCTTCTTCTCCATCTTTGTTATGTTTCTTGCGATTCCTTCTAAAATTTCTTCTTCTTCAACTCCTCGTGTGTTCAGTACTGTTAGTGTGGATGTGTGTTGCTGTTGCTGCAATTGTGAAAGCTGTTGTTGTTAAAGTTGAGGGAGCTGTCGCTACACAAAGGGAGTCGGCCACGACTTGTCTCAAGTATATGTTTTATGCTATTTAATCTTTGTCCTAAGCATTCTGTAAATAACTTCTTTTGGTAAGTCTCTGATTCCTTCTAACTTCTTTGTTGGTGATTGTTTGTGGTGTTGAGTATAAGGTTTTAGAGATGCAGATAATTTTATGATATTTTTTTATGTCGTTTTGGTTTTCTGAGATATGCAGGGAGATTGAATGATGTAGAGTATGAAGGATGGGGTTTTGTGGCTTTTTAAGGAAATTCTGCAAAATTTCAGCGATTTGAAGAGGTTTATTATTGGAAGGTTTTGAGGTATGTACTACTATTTTTTATCTGTTATTTATTTTGATTTCTCTATATGGTTTTTGGTGTATAAAGAGTTGCTGATATTGTTGGTGTGTTTTTTAGCTTCTCCTCCATTTTTTTCTTGAGTGGAAAGAATTCCTTGATTTATAGGTGAGAATGATGGTGATGTATCTTGGAAACCTAAATGCAAACAAGTCTTGAATAATTCTAGTAGTGTAACTTATGTGAAAATGTGTTTGAGTTCTCAATATACAATTTGAATGAAATTTGAATGGTAGATGAATGAGTATCTTTTATTTGCTCCTAGAATTCCAAACAAATTACATGAATTGATCTTCAAAACTGAGTAAACTTGTATCATGAGAAATTAGTCCTTTTGCATATTTTGAATTCAAAAGCAAATTAATATGAATGAATTGCACCTCGTGCACTTGAATCGATTTTAAATCAAAAGAATTATTCGAATTCATCCTCAAATCTTCTTCTTTAAAACCCATATCGTCAATTCGTGGTAACTTGTAATATGATCCAATAATACAAATCGTGCCTTTAAGAGATTTAATAAATAATAAACCTTAATCCAACGACCGCTAATGTTAAATTGCAAATGACTTGAAGCAGGAGACAATCAATCAATGAATCATTGAACTAGAACTCTAGTTTCATGAATCATCCCAATATAAGAATCAAACGTCCTTTGAGAAAACGTCTGTGACATTTATATTGTACCAAGCACAATTTGACCTCGATCTTTGAATTAGTCTCATAGACAATGCTATTTTTGATACTTCACAAAAATAATTGTCTCAGGACGTTGAGAATTGAAGAAGTTTTGATCGTTTGAACTTGATCTTGCAAAAATTTGACTTTTGGTCGAAGTGCTTTAAATCTTCTCACATAGCCTGATCTTTTCTTGCATTCTAAGATGCATTGAAGCACATGTGAAATAGTGATGATGAAATCTTGTTTGTTCTCTGAGGAAGTTGTGGAGAAGCTTGAGACCACCTGTCGAACAAGGCATAGAAATAAACACACGATCCTCTGAAGTTCCAAAATATATCTTTGATCAAAATTTGATTGAATGATGCTTGAAACTCTATGCTCTGAGATTAGAGGTTGTGCCTTGATGAATCAATTTTCGAGAATCCATAATCAATCGTACTTATGGCTTGGGAGACTCAAAACACTAATTGAAGCGTGACGCCTGATGCTCTTGATTCAGACCTGTCTCTACACATGAAACAAAAGAAAACACGAACATACACCTTTATATGCGTTTAGAAGTTAGTGATACATAGGCTAAAAATGTTCAAAACACTTGACATATGAAATAAACGACAATGAAACAGCATAAGTTATAGAGAAAAAGACCTGGTATGTTTTCCTTCATCTATTTCTCTTTATAAGCTCCTTTCTGCTTCATATTTGTTATGTTGCTTGCGATTCCTTCTAATATTTCTTCTACTTAAACTCCTCGTGTGTGCAGTTCTGTTGATGTGGATGTGTGTTGCTGCAATTGTGAAATTTGTTGTTGTTGAAGCTGAGGGAGTTGTCGCTGCACAGAGGGAGTCGGCCACGGCTTGTCTCAAGTATGTTATTTATGCTATTTAATCTTTGTCCTAAGCACTCTATAAATAACTTCTTTTGTTAAGTCTCTGATTCCTTCCAACTTCTTTGTTGGTGATTGTTTGTGGTGTTGAGTATAAGGTTTTAGAGATGCAGATAATTTTATGATATTTGTTTTATGTCGTTTTGGTTTTTTGAGATATGCAGGGAGATTGAATGATGTAGAGTATGAAGGATGGGGTTTTGTGGCTTTTTTAGGAAATTCTGCAGAATTTCAGCGATTTGAAGAGGTTTATTTTTGGAAGGTTTTGAGGTATGTACTACTATTTTTTATCTGTTATTTCTTTTGATTTCTCTGTATGGTTTTTGGTGTATAAAGTGTTGCCGATATTGTTGGTGTGTTTTTTAGCTTCTCCTCCATTTTTTTCTTGAGTGGAAAGAATTCCTTGATTTATAGGTGAGAATGATTGTGATGTATCTTGGAAACTAAAATGCAAACAAGTCTTGAATAATTCTAGTAGTGTAACTTATGTGAAAATGTGTTTTAGTTCTCAATGTACAATTTGAATGAAATTTGAATGGTAGATGAATGAGTATCTTTTATTTGCTCCTAGAATTCCAAACAAATTACATGAATTGATCTTCAAAACTGAGTAAACTTTTATCATGAGAAATTAGTCCTTTTGCATATCTTGAATTCAAAAGAAAATTCATATGAATGAATTGCACCTCGTGCACTTGAATCAATTTTAAATCAAAATAATTATTCGAATTCATCCTCAAATCTTCTTCTTTAAAACCCATATCGTCAATTCGTGGTAACTTGTAATATGAGCCAATAATACAAATCGTGCCTTTAAGAGATTTAATCAATAATCCACCTTAATCCAACGACTGCTAATGTTAAATTGCTAATAACTTGAAGCAGGAGACAATCAATCAATGAATCATTGAACTAGAACTCTAGTTTCATGAATCATCCCAATATAAGAATCAAACGTCCTTTGAGAAAACGTCTGTGACATTTATATTGTACCAAGCACAATTTGACCTCGATCTTTGAATTAGTTTCATAGACAATGCTATTTGTGATACTTCACAAAAAGAATTGTCTCATGACGTTGAGAATTGAAAAAGTTTTGATCGTTTGAACTTGATCTTGCAAAAAGTTGACTTTTGGTCGAAGTGCTTTAAATCGTCTCACATAGCCTGATCTTTTCTTGCATTCCAAAACGCATTGAAGCACATGTGAAATAGTGATGATGAAATCTTGTTTGTTCTCTGAGGAAGTTGTGGAGAAGCTTGAGACCACCTGTCGAACAAGGCGTAGAAATAAACACACGATCCTCTGAAGTTCTAAAATATATCTTTGATCAAAATTTGATTGAATGATGCTTGAAACTCTATGCTCTGAGATTAGAGGTTGTGCCTTGATGAATCAATTTTCGAGAATCCACAATCAATCGTACTTCTAGCTTGGGAGACTCAAAACACTAATTGAAGCGTGACGCCTGATGCTCTTGATTCAGACCTGTCTCTACACATGAAACAAAAGAAAACACTAACATACACCTTTATATGCGTTTAGAAGTTAGTGATACATAGGCTAAAAATGTTCAAAACACTTGACATATGAAATGAACGACAATGAAATAGCATAAGTTATAGAGAAAAAGACCTGGTATGTTTTTCTTCATCTATTTCTTTTTATAAGCTCCTTCTGCTTCATCTTTGTTATGTTGCTTGCGATTCCTTCTAAAATTTCTTCTACTTCAACTCCTCGTGTGTGCAGTACTGTTGATGTGGATGTGTGTTGCTGCAATTGTGAAATTTGTTGTTGTTGAAGCTGAGGGAGTTGTCGCTGCACAGAGGGAGTCGGCCACGGCTTGTCTCAAGTAAGTTGTTTAAGCTATTTAATCTTTGTCCTAAGCACTTTGTAAATAACTTCTTTTGTTAAGTCTCTGATTCCTTCCAACTTCTTTGTTGGTGATTGTTTGAGGTGTTGAGTATAAGGTTTTAGAGATGCAGATAATTTTATGTTATTTTTTTATGTCGTTTTGGTTTTCTGAGATATGCAGGGAGATTGAATGATGTAGAGTATGAAGGATGGGGTTTTGTGGCTTTTTTAGGAAATTCTGCAGAATTTCAGCGATTTGAAGAGGTTTATTTTTGGAAGGTTTTGAGGTATATACTACTATTTTTTATCTGTTATTTCTTTTGATTTCACTGTATGGTTTTTGGTGTATAAAGTGTTGCCGATATTGTTGGTGTGTTTTTTAGCTTCTCCTCCATTTTTTTTCTTGAGTGGAAAGAATTCCTTGATTTATAGGCGAGAATGATGGTGATGGATCTTGGAAACTTAAATGCAAACAAGTGTTGAATAATTCTAGTAGTGTAACTTATGTGAAAATGTGTTTGAGTTCTCAATATACAATTTGAATGAAATTTGAATGGTAGATGAATGAGTATCTTTTATTTGCTCCTAGAATTCCAAACAAATTACATGAATTGATCTTCAAAACTGAGTAAACTTGTATCATGAGAAATTAGTCCTTTTGCATATCTTGAAATCAAAAGCAAATTCATATGAATGAATTGCACCTCGTGCACTTGAATCAATTTTAAATCAAAATAATTATTCGAATTCATCCTCAAATCTTCTTCTTTAAAACCCATATCGTCAATTCGTGGTAACTTGTAATATGAGCCAATAATACAAATCGTGCCTTTAAGAGATTTAATCAATAATCCACCTTAATCCAACGACCGCTAATGTTAAATTGCTAATAACTTGAAGCAGGAGACAATCAATCAATGAATCATTGAACTAGAACTCTAGTTTCATGAATCATCCCAATATAAGAATCAAACGTCCTTTGAGAAAATGTCTGTGACATTTATATTGTACCAAGCACAATTTGACCTCGATCTTTGAATTAGTCTCATAGACAATGCTATTTGTGATACTTCACAAAAAGAATTGTCTCAGGACGTTGAGAATTGAAGAAGTTTTGATCGTTTGAACTTGATCTTTCAAAAAGTTGACTTTTGGTCGAAGTGCTTTAAATCGTCTCACATAGCCTGATCTTTTCTTACATTCCAAATCGCATTGAAGCACATGTGAAATAGTGATGATGAAATCTTGTTTGTTCTCTGAGGAAGTTGTGGAGAAGCTTGAGACCACCTGTCAAACAAGGTGTAGAAATAAACACACGATCCTCTGAAGTTCTAAAATATATCTTTGATCAAAATTTGATTGAATGATGCTTGAAACTCTATGCACTGGGATTAGAGGTTGTGCCTTGATGAATCAATTTTCGAGAATCCACAATCAATCGTACTTCTGGCTTGGGAGACTCAAAACACTAATTGAAGCGTGACGCCTGATGCTCTTGATTCATACCTGTCTCTACACATGAAACAAAAGAAAACATGAACATACACCTTTATATGCGTTTAGAAGTTAGTGATACATAGGCTAAAAATGTTCAAAACACTTGACATATGAAATGAACGACAATGAAATAGCATAAGTTATAGAGAAAAAGACCTGATATGTTTTCCTTCATCTATTTCTTTTTATAAGCTCCTTCTGCTTCATCTTTGTTATGTTGCTTGCGATTCCTTCTAAAATTTCTTCTACTTCAACTCCCCGTGTTTGCAGTACTGTTGATATGGATGTGTGTTGCTGCAATTGTGAAATTTGTTGTTGTTGAAGCTGAGGGAGTTGTCGCTGCACAGAGGGAGTCGGCCACGGCTTGTCTCAAGTAAGTTGTTTATGCTATTTAATCTTTGTCCTAAGCACTCTGTAAATAACTTCTTTTGTTAAGTCTCTGATTCCTTCCAACTTCTTTGTTGGTGATTGTTTGTGGTGTTGAGTATAAGGTTTTAGAGATGCAGATAATTTTATGATATTTTTTTATGTCGTTTTGGTTTTCTGAGATATGCAGGGAGATTGAATGATGTAGAGTATGAAGGATGGGGTTTTGTGGCTTTTTTAGGAAATTCTGCAGAATTTCAGCGATTTGAAGAGGTTTATTTTTGGAAGGTTTTGAGGTATATACTACTATTTTTTATCTGTTATTTCTTTTGATTTCACTGTATGGTTTTTGGTGTATAAAGTGTTGCCGATATTGTTGGTGTGTTTTTTAGCTTCTCCTCCATTTTTTTTCTTGAGTGGAAAGAATTCCTTGATTTATAGGCGAGAATGATGGTGATGTATCTTGGAAACTTAAATGCAAACAAGTCTTGAATAATTCTAGTAGTGTAACTTATGTGAAAATGTGTTTGAGTTCTCAATATACAATTTGAATGAAATTTGAATGGTAGATGAATGAGTATCTTTTATTTGCTCATAGAATTCCAAACAAATTACATGAATTGATCTTCAAAACTGAGTAAACTTTTATCATGAGAAATTAGTCCTTTTGCATATCTTGAATTCAAAAGCAAATTCATATGAATGAATTGCACCTCGTGCAGTTGAATCGATTTTAAATCAAAAGAATTATTCGAATTCATCCTCAAATCTTCTTCTTTAAAACCCATATCGTCAATTCTTGGTAACTTGTAATATGAGCCAATAATACAAATCGTTCCTTTAAGAGATTTAATCAACAATCCACCTTAATCCAACGACCTCTAATGTTAAATTGCAAATGACTTGAAGCAGGAGACAATCAATCAATGATTCATTGAACTAGAACTCTAGTTTCATGAATTATCCCAATATAAGAATCAAACGTCCTTTGAGAAAACGTCTGTGACATATATATTGTACCAAGCACAATTTGACCTCGATCTTTGAATTAGTCTCATAGACAATGCTATTTGTGATACTTCACAAAAAGAATTGTCTCAGGAGGTTGAGAATTGAAGAAGTTTTGATCGTTTGAACTTGATCTTGCAAAAAGTTAACTTTTGGTCGAAGTGCTTTAAATCGTCTCACATAGCCTGATATTTTCTTGCATTCCAAGACGCATTGAAGCATATGTGAAATAGTGATGATGAAATCTTGTTTGTTCTCTGAGGAAGTTGTGGAGAAGCTTGAGACCACCTGTCAAACAAGGCGTAAAAATAAACACACGATCCTATGAAGTTCTAAAATATATCTTTGATCAAAATTTGATTGAATGATGCTTGAAACACTATGCTCTGAGATTAGAGGTTGTACCTTGATGAATCAATTTTCGAGAATCCACAATCAATCGTACTTCTGGCATAGGAGACTCAAAACACTAATTGAAGTGCGACGCCTGATGCTCTTGATTCAGACCTGTCTCTACACATGAAACAAAAGAAAACACCAACATACACCTTTATATGCGATTAGAAGTTAGTGATACATAGACTAAAAATGTTCAAAACACTTGACATATGAAATGAACGACAATGAAATAGCATAAATTATAGCGAAAAGACCAGGTATGTTTTCCTTCATCTATTTCTCATTATAAGCTCCTTCTGCTTCATCTTTGTTATGTTGCTTGCAATTCCTTCTAAAATTTCTTCTTCTTCAACTCCTCGTGTGTGCAGCACTATTGATGTGGATGTGTGTTGCTTTTGCTGCAATTGTGAAAGTTGTTATTGTTGAAGCTGAGGGAGTTGTCGCTGCACATAGGGAGTCGGCCACAGATTGTCTCAAGTATGTTGTTTATATTATTTAATCTTTGTTCTAAGCACTCTGTAAATAACTTGTTTTGTTAAGTCTCAGATTCCTTCCAACTTCTTTATTGGTGATTGTTTGTGGTGTTGAGTATATGGTTTTAGAGATGCATATAATTTTATGATATTTTTTATGTTGTTTTGGTTTTCTGAGATATGCAGGGAGATTGAATGATGTAGAGTATGAAGGATGGGTTTTTGTGGCTTTTTTAGGAAATTCTGCAGAATTTCAGCGATTTGAAGAGGTTTATTTTTGGAAGGTTTTGAGGTATGTACTACTATTTTTTATCTGTTATTTCTTTTGATTTCTCTGTATGGTTTTTGGTGTATAAAGTGTTGCCGATATTGTTGGTGTGTTTTTTAGCTTCTCCTCCATTTTTTTTCTTGAGTGGAAAGAATTCCTTGATTTATAGGTGAGAATGATGGTGATGTATCTTGGAAACTTAAATGTAAACAAGTCTTGAATAATTCTAGTAGTGTAACTTATGTGAAAATGTGTTTGAGTTCTCAATGTACAATTTGAATGAAATTTGAATGGTAGATGAATGAGTATCTTTTATTTGCTCCTAGAATTCCAAATAAATTACATGAATTGATCTTCAAACTGAATAAACTTTTATCATGAGAAATTAGTCCTTTTGCATATCTTGAATTCAAAATCAAATTCATATTAATGAACTGCACCTCGTGAACTTGAATCAATTTTAAATCAAAAGAATTATTTGAATTCATCCTCAAATCTTCTTCTTTAAAACCCATATCGTGAATTCGTGGTAACTTGTAATATGAGCCAATAATACAAATCGTGCCTTTAAGAGATTTAATCAATAATCCACATTAATCCAACGACCGCTAATGTTAAATTACAAATAACTTGAAGCAGGAGACAATCAATCAATGAATCATTGAACTAGAACTCTAGTTTGATGAATCATCCCAATATAAGAATCAAACGTCCTTTGAGAAAACGTATGTGACATTTATATTGTACCAAGCACAATTTGACCTCGATCTTTGAATTAGTCTCATAGACAATGCTATTTGTGATACTTCACTAAAAGAATTGTCTCAGGACGTTGAGAATTGAAGAAGTTTTGATCGTTTGAACTTGATCTTGCAAAAAGTTGACTTTTGGTCGAAGTGCTTTAAATCGTATCACATAGCCTGATCTTTTCTTGCATTCCAAGATGCATTGAAGCACATGTGAAATAGTGATGATGAAATCTTGTTTGTTCTCTGAGGAAGTTGTGGAGAAGCTTTAGACCACCTTTCAAACAAGGCGTAGAAATAAACACACGATCCTATGAAGTTCTAAAATATATCTTTGATCAAAATTTGATTGAATGATGCTTGAAACACTATGCTCTAAGATTAGAGGTTGTGCCTTGATGAATCAATTTTCGAGAATCCACAATCAATCGTACTTCTGGCATAGGAGACTCAAAACACTAATTGAAGTGCGACGCCTGATGCTCTTGATTCAGACCTGTCTCTACACATGAAACAAAAGAAAACACCAACATACACCTTTATATGCGATTAGAAGTTAGTGATACATAGACTAAAAATGTTCAAAACACTTGACATATGAAATGAACGACAATGAAATAGCATAAATTATAGCGAAAAAGACCTGGTATGTTTTCCTTCATCTATTTCTCTTTATAAGCTCCTTCTGCTTCATCTTTGTTATGTTGCTTGCGATTCCTTCTAAAATTTCTTCTTCTTCAACTCCTCGTGTGTGCAGCACTATTGATGTGGATGTGTGTTGCTTTTGCTGCAATTGTGAAAGTTGTTATTGTTGAAGCTGAGGGAGTTGTCGCTGCACATAGGGAGTCGGCCATGGATTGTCTAAAGTATGTGATTTATGTTATTTAATCTTTGTCCTAAGCACTCTGTAAATAACTTCTTTTGTTAAGTCTCTGATTCCATCCAACTTCTTTGTTGGTGATTTTTTATGGTGTTGAGTATAAGGTTTTAGAGATGCATATAATTTTATGACATTTTTTATGTTGTTTTGGTATTCTGAGATATGCAGGGAGATTGAATGATGTAGAGTATGAAGGATGTGGTTTTGTGGCTTTTTTAGGAAATTCTGCAGAATTTCAGCGATTTGAAGAGGTTTAATTTTGGAAGGTTTTGAGGTATGTACTACTATTTTTTATCTGTTATTTCTTTTGATTTCTATGTATGGTTTTTGGTGTATAAAGTGTTGCCGATATTGTTGGTGTGTTTTTTAGCTTCTCCTCCATTTTTTTCGTGAGTGGAAAGAATTCCTTGATTTATAGGTGAGAATGATGGTGATGTATCTTGGAAACTTAAATGCAAACAAGTCTTGAATAATTCTAGTAGTGTAACTTATGTGAAAATGTGTTTTAGTTCTCAATGTACAATTTGAATGAAATTTGAATGGTAGATGAATGAGTATCTTTTATTTGCTCATAGAATTCCAAACAAATTACATGAATTGATCTTCAAAACTGAGTAAACTTTTATCATGAGAAATTAGTCCTTTTGCATATCTTGAATTCAAAAGCAAATTCATATGAATGAATTGCACCTCGTGCACTTGAATCAATTTTAAATCAAAATAATTATTCGAATTCATCCTCAAATCTTCTTCTTTAAAACCCATATCGTCAATTCGTGGTAACTTGTAATATGAGCCAATAATACAAATCGTGCCTTTAAGAGATTTAATCAATAATCCACCTTAATCCAACGACCGCTAATGTTAAATTGCTAATAACTTGAAGCAGGAGACAATCAATCAATGAATCATTGAACTAGAACTCTAGTTTCATGAATCATCCCAATATAAGAATCAAACGTCCTTTGAGAAAACGTCTGTGACATTTATATTGTACCAAGCACAATTTGACCTCGATCTTTGAATTAGTCTCATAGACAATGCTATTTGTGATACTTCACAAAAAGAATTGTCTCAGGACGTTGAGAATTGAAGAAGTTTTGATCGTTTGAACTTGATCTTGCAAAAAGTTAACTTTTGGTCGAAGTGCTTTAAATCGTCTCACATAGCCTGATCTTTTCTTGCATTCCAAGACGCATTGAAGCACATGTGAAATAGTGAGGATGAAATCTTGTTTGTTCTCTGAGGAAGTTATGGAGAAGCTTGAGACCACCTGTCGAACAAGGCGTAGAAATAAACACACGATCCTCTGAAGTTCTAAAATATATCTTTGATCAAAATTTGATTGAATGATGCTTGAAACTCTATGCTCTGAGATTAAAGGTTGTGCCTTGATGAATCAATTTTCGAGAATCCATAATCAATCGTACTTCTGGCTTGGGAGACTCAAAACACTAATTGAAGCGCGACGACTGATGCTCTTGATTCAGACTTGTCTCTACCCATGAAACAAAAGAAAACACGAACATACACCTTTATATGCGATTAAAAGTTAGTGATACATAGGCTAAAAATGTTCAAAACACTTGACATATGAAATGAACGACAATGAAATAGCATAAGTTATAGCGAAAAAAGACCTGGTATGTTTTCCTTCATCTATTTCTCTTTATAAGCTCCTTCTGCTTCATCTTTGTTATGTTGCTTGTGATTCCTTCTAAAATTTCTTCTTCAACTCCTCGTGTGAGCAATACTGTTGATGTGGATGTGTGTTGCTGCAATTGTGAAAGTTGTTGTTGTTGAAGCTGAGGGAGTTGTCGCTGCACAGAGGGAGTCGGCCACGGCTTGTCTCAAGTATGTTGTTTTACTATTTAATCTTTGTCCTAAGCACTATGTAAATAACTTCTTTAGTTAAGTCTCTGATTCCTTCCAACTTCTTTGTTGGTGATTGTTTGTGGTGTTGAGTATAAGGTTTTAGAGATGCAGATAATTTTATGATATTTTTTTATGTCGTTTTGGTTTTCTGAGATATGCAGGGAGATTGAATGATGTAGAGTATGAAGGATGGGGTTTTGTGGAATTTTTAGGAAATTCTGCAGAATTTCAACGATTTGAAGAGGTTTATTTTTGGAAGGTTTTGAGGTATGTACTACTATTTTTTATCTGATATTTCTTTTGATTTCTCTGTATGGTTTTTGGTGTATAAAGTGTTGCTGATATTGTTGGTGTGTTTTTTAGCTTCTCTTCCATTTTTTTTCTTGAGTGGAAAGAATTCCTTGATTTTTAGGTGAGAATGATGGTGATGTATCTTGGAAACTTAAATGCAAACAAGTCTTGAATAATTCTAGTAGTGTAACTTATGTGAAAATGTGTTTTAGTTCTCAATATACAATTTGAATGAAATTTGAATCGTAGATGAATGAGTATCTTTTATTTGCTCCTAGAATTCTAAACAAATTACATGAATTGATCTTCAAAACTGAGTAAACTTGTATCATGAGAAATTAGTCCTTTTGCATATCTTGAATTCAAAGCAAATTCATATGAATGAATTGCACCTCGTGCACTTGAATCGATTTTAAATCAAAATAATTATTCGAATTCATCCTCAAATCTTCTTCTTTAAAACCCATATCGTCAATTCATGGTAACTTGTAATATGAGCCAATAATACAAATCGTGCCTTTAAGAGATTTAATCAATAATCCACCTTAATCCAACGACCGCTAATGTTAAATTGCAAATGACTTGAAGCAGGATACAATCAATCAATGAATCATTGAACTAGAACTCTAGTTTCATGAATTATCCCAATATAAGAATCAAACGTCCTTTGAGAAAACGTCAGTGACATATATATTGTACCAAGCACAACTTGACCTCGATCTTTGAATTAGTCTCATAGACAATGCTATTTGTGATACTTCACAAAAAGAATTGTCTCAGGACGTTGAGAGTTGAAGAAGTTTTGATCGTTTGAACTTGATCTTGCAAAAAGTTGACTTTTGGTCGAAGTGCTTTAAATCGTCTCACATAGCCTGATCTTTTCTTGCATTCCAAGACACATTGAAGCACATGTGAAATAGTGATGATGAAATCTTGTTTGTTCTCTGAGGAAGTTGTGGAGAAGCCTGAGACCACCTGTGGAACAAGGCGTAGAAATAAACACACGATCCTCTGAAGTTCTAAAATATATCTTTGATCAAAATTTGATTGAATGATGCTTGAAACTCTATGCTCTGAGATTAGAGGTTGTGCCTTGATGAATCAATTTTCGAGAATCCACAATCAATCGTACTTCTGGCTTGGGAGACTCAAAACACTAATTGAAGCGCGACGCCTGATGCTCTTGATTCAGACCTATCTCTACACATGAAACAAAAGAAAACACGAACATACACCTTTATATGCGATTAGAAGTTAGTGATACATAGGCTAAAAATGTTCAAAACACTTGACATATGAAATGAACGACAATGAAATAGCTTAAGTTATAGCGAAAAAGACCTGGTATGTTTTCCTTCATCTATTCCTCTTTATAAGCTCCTTCTGCTTCATCTTTGTTATGTTGCTTGCGGTTCCTTCTAAAATTTCTTCTTCTTCAACTCCTCGTGTGTGCAGTACTGTTGATGTGGATGTGTGTTGTTGTTGCTGCAATTGTGAAAGTTGTTGTTGTTGAAGCTGAGGGAGTTTTCACTGCACAGAGGGAGTCGGCCACGGCTTGTCTCAAGTATGTTGTTTAAGCTATTTAATCTTTGTACTAAGCACTTTGTAAATAACTTCTTTTGTTAAGTCTCTGATTCCTTCCAACTTCTTTGTTGGTGATTGTTTGTGGTGTTGAGTATAAGGTTTTAGAGATGCAGATAATTTTATGATATTTTTTATGTCGTTTTGGTTTTCTGAGATATGCAGAGAGATTGAATTATGTAGAGTATGAAGGATGGGGTTTTGTGGCTTTTTTAGGAAATTCTGCAGAATTTCAGCGATTTGAAGAGGTTTATTTTTGGAATGTTTTGAGGTATGTACTACTATTTTTTATCTGTTATTTCTTTTGATTTCTCTGTATGGTTTTTGGTGTATAAAGTGTTGCCGATATTGTTGGTGTGTTTTTCAGCTTCTCCTCCTTTTTTTTCTCGGGAGGAAAGTATGCCTTGATTTATAGGTGAGATTGAGTGGTATTTGGAGGGAATTTTTGGTGAATTGGAAGTGATTTCCTTAACTGTCTCAATGCTTTCCAATGCAGTTTTTATTTGCTAATTATATGCAACATTTGGATTGTTTGTGGACAGGTCTGTAGCAGAATTTGTACTATTGGAGCAGGGCTGTTTTTGGGCTGGTTTTGCAGCAGGTTTTTGGTAGGTTTGGGACTGTTATTGTTGGGTTTATAGCAACTGGTTTTGGACGACATACAAAAGACATTTTTGGGGTTGTTTTAGTGCAAGTTTTGGAGCAGCAAACAACAACAATTTGGACTGGTTTTTTTGCTTTCTATAATGCAGGGCATCAGTGCGTATTTTTGGCATTTGGACAACAACTCATGCTTGGTGACAAGAAGAATTGAAATTGTAGGGAAAAAGTTAAAACTTAGGATAATTTAGCATAGGTTTACATGTAAGCTTAAATGTATTTCCCTTGATGAACATGAATTTATCTTGAATTTGAAACCATAAAACTTGAAAAGTTTTATAACATGATGAAATTATTCAAATCTTAAATTCAAAGTTTATTTGACTTTTAAAGCTTGAAATTTATGACATAAGAAAAATCAGGAATTCCTCTTGTGACATAAAAGTGATGGTGATGTATCTTGGAAATTTAAATCCAAACAAGTCTTGGATATTTCTAGTAGTGTAAGTTATGTGAAAATGTGTTTGGGTTCTCAATATACACTTTGAATGAAATTTGAATGGTAGATGAATGAGTATCTTGTATTTTCTCCTAGAATTCCAAACAAATTAAATGAAATGATCTTCAAAATTGATCAAACTTACATCATGAGAAATTAGTCCTTTTTCATATCTTGAATTCAAAAGCAAATTCATATGAATTAATTACACCTTGCACACTTGAATCGATTTTAAATCAAAATAATTATTCGAATTGATCCTCAAATCTTCTTCTTTAAAACCCATATCGTCAATTCATGGTAACTTGCAATACGAGCCAATAATATAAATCATGACTTGAAGCAAGCGACAAGCAATGAATGAATCATTGAACTAGAACTCTAGTTTCATGAATTATCCCAACATAAGAATCAAACGTCCTTTCAGAAAACGTCTGTTGAATAAATTGAACCAAGCACAATTTGACCTCGATCTTTGAAGTAATCTCATAGACAACGCTATTTGTGATACTTCACAAAAAGAATCGTCTCAGGATGTTGAGAATTGAAGAAGTTATGATCGTTTGAACTTGATCTTTCAAAAAGTTGACTTTTGGTCGAAGTGCTTTAAATCGTCTCACATAGCCTGATCTTTTCTTGCATTCCAAGATGCATTGAAGCACATATGAACCGATGATGATGAAATCTTGTTTGTGTTATGAGGAAGTTATGGAGAAGCTTGAGACCACCTGTTGGACAAGGCATGGAAATAAACACATGATCCTCTGACGTTCCAAAAGACTTCTTTGATCAAAATTAGATTGAACAATGCTTGAGACTCTATGCTCTAAGATTAGAGGTTGTGCCTTGATAAATCAATTTTCGAGAACACACAATCAATCGTACTTCTGGCTTGGGAGACTCAAAACCCTAATTGAAGTGTGATGCCTGATGCTCTTGATTCAGACCTGTCTCTGCACATGAAACAAAAGAAAACACAAACATACACCTTTATATGCGATTAGAAGTTAGTGATACATAGGCTAAAAATGTTTAAAACACTTGACAATCTCTGCATAGTCAATGCTAGAAGGTGAGAGGTTAAAACCGACCATATTTTGTGACCTTTGTATAAAATGCAAAATGAAAATGGGATCTTAGATAAAAAATTGGGGTATGAGACACCCCTAGGGTAACCTCTCTTTGTTACCTTCGAAAATAATGTTCATGTCCCTCGAAGATAGGGATACTTTAGAAAAATACCCTTATTAATAAAGATCATAGTCCCTCGATGACCCTTTGATGTCGCCTAAATAAATGATATAATCCCTCTGATATAATTGCTAAATTATCTCTACATGTTGCCTTCAACGACTCTTCGATGAACCTTCGCTCGTCCCTTCACATCCAATAGATAGGCCTACCTACCAACTAATGGTATGGATATCACTATCTATAAAGGAGAAGGAAAATAATAAGAACAACCTATAGTGGGTAAGGAACTCTTAATTTCTTGTTCACAATTTTTTCTAAAAAAACATTTTTCACACATCACTTTCAAACAAATATTTTCAAAACACTTTGTACACATTCTTGAGGACTGATATAAGAACCATTACAAAGATAGCCGTACTTTGGCTTTAAAAATATTTTCAAACAAATCACACACACAAAGAAAATTTTGAAAAGTGAGCTAGCAGTTAAGAGCACGTAGATAACTATGGATGGAGAGGGTGCTAACACCTTCCCTTTTCATAACTTACCCCCCGAACTCAAAATATATCAAGGTCTTTCATGTTCTTTTCACCCTTTCATTAAATATTAGATAAAAGAAAAGTCTGTGGGGACTCTAGCTATTCACACATTTGCGATAAAATGCAAAATTCAGTTCTCATACCTTATTATAGAACCGACGACTCTACTATGGATATACTTAAAAAAGACGAGTTACCTTAGAGTATAGATCACGTTTTACTTGTTTTTACTATTTTCTTTGTTTGCTTTAAATTTAAGGGTTGCTTGGGTTTATGTACTTGCAAATATCCTACACTCGGATCTAGGAATGCCTTAGGTAAGTAGAAATAGATCATGGAAACTGTACGGTGTAAACCGATATGGTTGAAGTGATGGCTACCGTTTTTGCGATACTTTGGATTGTACTAATGTTCCTTGAGTCAGTCGAGGATAACATTAGGCTTCCCTGTGGTGTCATTAGCACTAACTGAATTTTAGAACCTTAATTGATCCATCTTGGCCATTAGAATGTAGTGTGATGTTCGGCTTTGGTGCAGTCCAAGGTTGGTTGATACTCGATGCTACACTCATTGAGATACGACTCACGAGATGTTTTGGTGGCAAATCAGTTGTTATACTAAAATAAAAACTTTGATAATGATTCGTGATATGAGATCCCTCGAACCCAGTTACTATTTTAGGACAGGTTAAGCCAACTTAACTTCAATAGAAAAGTGTACTTACCTATGGACCTCATCCAAGCCTTTAAACCTAAGGCTCTTGTGTTATTTGTTTGTGTTTTCTATCTATCTGACATGAACACGACATCATAACATCATATCATCATGACATGGCATTTTATTACCCATTTCAAGGATCTTAGGGATCTTGGGTGCATGATTATCATGAGCCAGATTGCTAGCAAAGGGCAAGAGAATTTATTTTCCTCTAACCAGATGCCATCAAAGATCAAAGTACGTTCTTTTGAGTCAGAAGCTAGGACCCACTCGATATGGTGATCTTGATTCTAATAGAAGGACGTCCAAAAATGAAGATTCAAAATTCCACAAGTCAGAGTTGTAACCAGATTCACTTTCAAACTTCTTTACCCCGCAAGATCCTTGAAAACATTACATTTCAATATACATATCATGCATCTCATTACATAACAGGTACTTCCAAGACAGGTTTTCTCATCTTCTTGCTATTTATTTCAGCAGGAAAAATGGATCTTGTTCAAAAGTCAGAGATCTCTAAGCTCAGAATGCCCAATTCCAACATATGTTCCTGAACTTAGCCAAGGGGCAGGATGAGCTGAAGGTACTGGTCACCAGTGAGAAGAAGAAAGCAAAGAAACCAATTGGCATTCTTAACATGGTAAGAAGGTTCAGAGGTCCTGCCAAGCAAGCTCGAGATCTTAACATGCCATCTAATGAAGATGACAAGCAGGATGAAGACAACAAAATTGTGAAGACTGAAAAAAGGCATCCCGGTTCAAACAAATTTCATGATGAAGAGGATGATGCTTACCTGGGCGTGCAGTATCCCCCGACTGATAAGAAATACAAAAATGTTGGAAGAGCGTTTGAGAGCTATGGAGATCCAGAAAGTGCTTGGATTGAACTTTGATGATTTGTGCCTGGTTTCAGGAGTCATCATCCCTCCTAAATTCAAGACTCCTGTCTTTGCTAAGTATGATGTCATTTCTTGTCCTAAGATTCATTTAAGATCTTATGTTTGGAAAATCCAACCGCACACTACTGATAAGATACTGTGAGTTCACTTCTTTCAAGAGAGCTTGTCTGGAACACATTTGGAATAATTTTATCAACTAGAAGGGACCAATATTCACACTTGGGAAGATTTGGTTGCTTCCTTCTATAAGTAATACCAGTATAATGCTGACCTTACACCAACCCGTATGCAACTGTAGAACATGACCATGGGCTCTGATGAAGGCTTTATAGAGTACGCCCATAAATTGAGAGATCTTGCGGGCAGAGTTCAACCTCCTTTGGCTGATAGAGAATTAGTTGACATGTTCATGAGCACACTAAAAGGTCCTTTCTATAATCATCTACTAGGGAGTTCTTTGGCTGGTTTCACTGAAATAATTTTGACCGAGGAATATGTTGAGAATGGAATTAGAAGCGCTAAAATTCAAGTGGCTACATCTTCAAATATTGTGAAGAAGACTTATAATGGTAAGAGGGAATCCAATGTTGTGTACTACCAGAAGGGTCTTAATAAGAGCGACCGTTACCAATCTGTGGGGGCAGTACTGATCTCTAATTCTGCGCTAGAGTAACAGCAACAAAATAATCAATGTAGGCAGGACGTGCCTAGGAGACAATTTACAAAGATCAACATGTCGTTGGCTCAAGCATTGCAACACATGTTGAAAGCAGGGCTGGTTATATTGAGGGAGCATCCTATGAATCCTAACACTCCCTCTCCCAACTACAATCCCAACGCAAGGTGTGCATATCACTCTGACAGCCCTGGGCACGACACTAACAATAATTGGGCTCTAAAGAATAAGATCTAAGATATAATTGACACCAAGAAAATTGAATTTGACCCTCCTGAGACTCCTAATATGATTACTTCAGCCATGCCTAATCATGACAAGGGTGTTAATGTTGTTGATGTTTTTTCTTATATTCCTACTGTGATTGATTTAACTACTCCCCTGATGATTGTTAAGGAAAAGCTACTAAAATTCGGTTTATTTTTGGGTTATGCCGAAGGCTGCTACTACTGTGCATCCCAATCCAATAGTTATGCATTGCTGAAAAAAGGTATCCAGTGTTTGATGTATGACCGTGAGATCCTAGTTAAGAAGATCCCTTTTGAGAAGACTCCTTCTGTGGAGAGTGCATCCCAAGACCTGAATCTTGAAGACGTGTCTACAATTTCCGGTACCCATATAAGGATCACTTCTAAGGGTCTTGTGAAGGTTACCGCTGAATCTAAAGTTGCTCCCCTGATTATTACTACGC